AGATATAAAAAAAAAACATTATTGAAAGAAAAATTGGACGTTTCATATCATAATAAAATAAATGATTACACGATGACAAAAACCTGCATGTGATTTGGCATTTCTTTATGTTTACACAGATTACTAATGCTGCTTAAATGTGCCATTAATGTACTGACACAACAATATATAGTGTATTTTATACAAATATAACTGATGTAAATGACAAAAACAAAGTTTAAGGCTGATGTCTATTCATTTTGGCAAGTAGGGCCTACTTTTCCACGTCAAAGACCGTTTTTATAAATATGCACGTTGCCGTGGATTTTAGCGTATGCACACGCTAAGATCAAATCTGTGCGTACGCACATTTTATAAATGAGGCCCCAGAACCCCATAGAGAATCTATGGGGTATTGTCAAGAGGAAAATGAGAAACAAGAGACCAAAAAATGCAGATGAGACGACATTCTAATTTATTGAGATGCACCTGTATTATTCCCCTCCACCAGAGGTCGGTAAAAAAAAAGTACATTTTAAGAAAGTGTTAGTCACTTGCAAGTGTAAATATTTATTTCTTGTATAAGGACAGGTTTTTAATTTTACATTGTTTAGTGTATTAGAAACTACAGATACAGCAGTACGTTTTCAAATGAGACTTTGTTCAACAGTAAGATCTGTTTTCTCTTCTTGCACAACCCCAAATAGCTTTCTGTAGAAATGAAACTTATGTCAAACTTATGCTTTACTGTTTTTCCCAGTTTGCAGAGAAGTGCAACTAAAATTTGTGAGAAAAGAGAATGAATTTTTTTTTGTATTTCATAAAAAAAGCATTGCTGTGTTCATATTTTAGAATTGTATTTTTTCAAGTTTACAGAATGTGATTTTACAGATCATAAGAGGCTACAAGTGCACAACAGCAATTTTCTGTTCATACAAAAACGGATTGGTTGGTCATTTAGGAGTGAAATTAATGAAAAATCTATGGGGGCAAATTACAGAAAAAAGTGTAAGCAATTAAGTTCATTTAAAACATTTTGAATGCCTTGATGGTGATCATAAGGTTGATGAAACATGGAAATTGAAAACATTTCTATTGAACCTTGTATTATAAAAAAAAAAAAAACGAAATTAGACAAGATTATATTTCTTTCACAGCCTTTCACTTGTGTCATATAAAACAAAGCATCTAACCTGACAAAGGTTCATTAAAAGAATTCCATTATCCAGAATTCCTGTTGATTATGAGAGTTAGAACCTGCCGTTTGTTTAGCCTACAGTGGATTGCTTTGAATGATTAAAAAAAAAAAAATGCTGGTGGCTACTAGGTGAGCAGTGACCAATGATATCATAATGAAAGCATGTAAACGAATATTTTAAGAAACAAATCTTTACAGTTGAAACTGCTTCAAAATATTGATGTATGCTCCCTCTTTACAAAACTGCGGCTTTTTGAGAAACTTCACTGGCTCAGTAGTCAGGTGCTAGAAGTCAGGTTGCTTCTCATGACATTCTCATGAATGATGGCACCTGAATTAAAAATAGTAGATGTGGAAAATGTGGTTTTTAAGCAATACCACGTTTTAATCTTTATACAATCAGTCTTCCTTCCTCTTCTGCGATTTTCTACAACAGCGTCTCCAGCAAAGTGCACAGCATTTAAATGTTGCTAGAGTTACAATCAGCACAATAAAAAGCAGGAAGCCAATCACATCTAGACTGTGGTACTGAAGCCAGTTCAGCTCATGAGCAGCAGGTCTCAGGTGGTCTGCCCCCTTGTGTCTCATAACAAACTCTGTCCAGTAGACTGCAAGGTCCAGGGGCTGCATGGGACGGTCATTGTGTATGGCCGACAGCTTCTCCATTCTTTGCTTATAGCTGCAGAACACAGCAAAAGAAATGCATTGAGATTATGAAAAAGAAAAAAATAATATAGAGACAGTGGGAAAACCTTTGAACAAAACATCAAACTCTCACCTGCTGTCGTTAATAACTGTGTTGAGAGCATCGACCAGTGTTTCTGCAGTGATATCATGGATGCTGAGCACCACTCCCACCCCTCGAGTTGCCATGCGGTGCACATTGTCACCCTGGTCACCAAAGAGGGGAAGCATCACCATGGGAACACCATGACAGATGCCCTCATAGATTCCATGCGTCCCACCATGAGTGATAAAGGCCTTTGCTTTGGAGTGACCTTTGATAAATGAGAAGAATTAAAGTAACTTTGCTTTTGACAGGACTAATTGGCTGGCACATACAGCAGATGACGATATGCAAACAATACAGTGGGGTCCAAAAGTCTGACTGAGATGATTTTTATTTATTTAAACCTGGAAATAGTTTTAGGACTGAAAAAAAAAAACATTTTTAAAAAAGTTAAATCGAATAAGTAAACAAGTTGCCACATAATTAAAGAAAATTTTAAGTGTTTTTTTTTTTTAGGTATGTCCCCCTTTGCTTTATATGATCACCACAACGCTTGTGAATTAATTTAGAATGAACAAATTGCATTAAATTAGATGCAAAATGCATCTAAAATGCATGGCCTCAGACCTCAGATCCCACTGTATAAAGCTTTGATTTAATTTGTTTAGTAGTGTAATGTTTAGCATCCCCATTTATTGATCTTTGCAGGCATAGGCACCAAAAAGCACAAGATATTCTCCATTAAAAATAAATAAATACATTTAATAATCGACTGCGATTCGGGAACCTCTCTGATTGGTGGATCTCACAACTGGTCTCTGCGAGTCATAATACACACAAATGCCTCTTTACAGTGGCTATATAATAGTGTGCCGTTCTGTTCCCAACATCTTGTTATTTATTATATTGGGCTTCATTCATTCAATACTTTTGTGATTCTGTTATTTTTTTCAACATTAAATAAAAACGAATAAAATGTATGTGTTTGGGCAGTTTTCATAATCAATAGCTCATATTTAGGCAATCACATGGAGTTTTATATGGCAGTATGCATCTGAAAAAAAATTTAGCAGTATATTTGTTCATTTCCTCAGTGAAAATCTGTGTTCTATATTATGACGGGTGGGCACTCACCGGCAGAACATAAATCAGCGTCTATGCGTGCAGGTATTTAAATAGAATTCCACAAGATCTATAGATATTCTGACACCTCAGGGCACTCTTTTCTTTCAAAATTCTCCAGTATTTATATAGCTGACCAGATTGCTCATTGGTCAAGCATCTGCCAATACAGCCACAGTTAATGGGATTAGCTAACATTATGAGTCTGGTTCTGCTCTCCAGTCATTGCAATCATACCTGACATGCCAGGCAAATTACAGACTTTACACAGTTTGTTTAACAAAAGCTGCTTCTGTGTTCTTGGTTTAATGATCCATGTTGTAGCTGGAATTTGTGGTTGGCTGATCCTTAACTTGCTACCCAAGGGATAAGTCAAGTGAATCCCTGGATTTAACAATAATACATTTACTCCCTCACACTGGTCCTCACTCACTTCTGTTAAGACAAACAGAAATCCCTCATTCTTTAGCACTGAATCTAACTAAAGTGGTTGCTTAACTACAAATAAATCCTATTCTTTTCACATGAAAAAAATGCATAAATATATATGCAATTAAATTAATTATTTGATTCCACAGATCTTCAATTAGGTTTCTAGATCTCTACTTTCCTATTGATTAATAGAGCCCTATTTTTTTTGGCTGCATGAAGAATTTTAACATTACATATACGAAGCATTAAATTAGCCAATTAAATGTCATATGGTATGGGAAAAGTAAGTTGTTCATTGCATAGTTTAAAATAAATAAATAAACCAACATCCGGGTGGGTGATACATGTTGTAAGCTTAGTACCAAGGAAAAGAAAAAGAAAAGACCAGAGAAACTCACCGAGCAAGTCATTCTGTGGAAGCCACTTCATCAACTTGACATTTTCTGGGACATTATCAGGAATCTCACCTGTATACCGCCAAATAACCTAGAAAAAGTGATATTCAGCAGACAGTTTTTATTCAAAACTAATTGCAGCACAATTACTCCAGTTACTGAAGCTATCTTTTGAAGCTATACTAATTTATAAAACAGAACCAGGTTACCAGTTTAGACCACTACCTTTAACCACTACCTAAAGAAGTACCCTTTTGGTGCAATAATTTTTATTCAAGTGTGTAGACACTTATAAATACATGAATTCCATTGCATTATATACAGTAGCATATCAAACCAAAGGCATCTACAATTCTTTTTCCCTCAGAACTGACCTGGCAGAGTTAACAAAAGTAATTTATCACATTGTCAACTAAGTTTGGCAAACAGAAAACATCCATATACTCTTTTATATATATATATATATATATATATATATTTTATAATGTAAAATCTAAATTTATTTTTGTGAAATGTTTTGCAGTGTTTTGGTGCCACATATTAGTAGAGGCTTAGGGAATACTCCTGCAGTTTTAGAGTAATGTAAGGATCTTGTGACAGAAAAATGACAGTCAACTCTTGTTGACACAAGACTCCTGCTCGGTCTAACAGAAATACTATCCATTCTAGTAATGCAGCATCCTGCGGAGTGCCAAACCCCCTTTTCAGCAAGCACAATAACTTTAATGAGAACAAGATGTTCCTGGACTTCCTCCCTAGCTATAGCTCTGCGTGCAGCCTCCACTTAGTTTTACACTTTTACTTGCTGAGAAAACAAGTGGGTAATGTGGACCCATAAACCCTACAATCCTTGACTGAGATACTGAACATCTGGGATGCTGAACAGAATGGGCTCAGGTAACGCACCACAATGTTTGCACAGAAGATACAGCTCTAAAAGCCTGGGATTAGTAAATGTGTGTAGTTCAAAGTATTATTTTACACCTTGTTTGACAACTTAATTTGCACCAGAATAACTTGACACATTTCTGCCAGTATGCCGTTTCTAAAATGTATACCGTTCCAACTTCAACTCTTTCGTACCCTCTGTGGAATCATACGGAAAGCCTTGAAGAAGATAGCAGCTTTCTCTTTTGGGATGGAGGACACCAGAGAACCCAGACTGAACACCACAATACCATGCTCTCCAGAACCCTTGACGAATTCCTCCACCTCCTGCAAAAGACAGAGAACAAGCCACAGAATAATAAGACAAAAATAAATAATAACCTTGTGATGTATAATGTAACACCGTAAACTATATATATAGCAGAGAATAAGCAAACATGATTGCATTATGTACTCACACAGCTTCATCAGCAAGGCCGATGTTATCCCTTAATCAACACCAAATCATAACCTTTTCATCTCACCGATGCCTTTTCTATATAATATCTCTGAACCTGCTTCATACACATCATACAGTTACATAGTGTCTGGGGTTTTCTGAGCTCAGGACTCATTATTTTGCCAGTAAAAAGAGCCCCTGCCTTAAACAAACCAAAAAAAAACAAAAAAACTAGCATTTTTGTTTCAGTCCTCATGGAAGGAAGGGTGGCTGACAAAGAAAATAACACAGAGCGAAAGCAATGGAGGAGGTTGCGTGACAAAGAATACCGTGAACACTGCGTTTCCTTAAGTTACCAGTGCCCTAGAGAAGGGAGTCATATTACCGTGGGTTATGTTTGTATGAGGGTAAATGTAATGCATGTTGAAACAAAGCACCAATGTCAAAACTCAGACATTTAGCCCATATTTCCAGAACCGACACTTGACCCCAACCCAACCTTTAAAAAACAGCCATAGATGTAACATATCCACCTTTAGTAATTACATCTTAGGACTAGTAGTCACTTATTACTGAATGTTTAAAACTACGATTAACAATCAATTTATAAAAGGCAAAAATGTTAAAACTTCATTGTAAAAGTGCATTTTGCAGTTAGCTTATTTGACCAAATTCAAAAGGCACCTCTAGTTACTTACTGCAGAAAGTTTGGCACTCTTCTGACAGTTGATGCCCCCGATGAGGACCATATTTGGCATGAGAGGCCTGGGGTACTCAAATGTAAAATCGTATCTAAGCAACCAGACAGCTCCGCGGCCGATGATCTCCTGGTATGTCACATCCGCATCCAGGTATCTTGAAGCAAGTTCATCAAAACTGGCGTACATTATTCGACACAGTGCCAGCTCTACGCCACTCATGATGAAATTTCGAATGCGCTCTACAAAGGTCATTTTGTCAGTGCTACCAGACTGAAACCGAGGTACGTAAGATGGAGGAGAAGGACACTGTGAAGCCAACATGTCAAGGCCACAAGGCATGCCACGAAGGAAGTAGACCGCAGGCAGACCAAGCGCGGTAGCAATAATAGGTCCACAGGGCAGGAAGGGGTCAGTGAGCACCAAGTCAAAGTTCTCCTCCTTTAGCTTCTGCATCAAAGGTTTGTTGTAAAGCAGCGACTCGCATCCTTGCACCTGCGTTCCTGTGAAGTTCAGCAGACGCTCCACTTGGATGATGATGTCCATCGGTGCAGGGATCCGCTTGAACACCCCTTCCTGAAATCCTTTCAAGCTGGTGGACAGCTCCTCCTTGGAGATGCTCACTGGGAAGGTCTCGGTGCGGAAGAGCTCTGAACTCTGGATTAAGATGTTGGTCTCAGGCACCAGAACCAGGAGGTTATGGCCTCTCTGGGCCAGTTCTGTCGCCAGCACCTTCATGCTGAGCCAGTGGCTGCCTTCAACAGGCATGACCAGCACCTGGCCACCCTGCGCAGGCCTCAGCCAGGCACCCAGCCAGAACACCAGCCCCCACAGCCAGCCCTCCTTCAGCATAACTGGGTCTGCCTAAGAGACACAAACACTGAAAGAAAAGGAGAGGAGAAAACTCCTCCTCCAGGAAAAGGGGCTGTGTTTAAACTCTCTCATGTGTGGCTGTGAAACAAGAGAGTGAAAAGAAGAACAAGAGGGTTCGACAGTTGTCCGTTTTTTTAGTTTGCAGATGTTAATCATGCGAAAAACATTTCCTGAAAGGGAAATAAGTGCTCTGCCAGCACAATGTTACACAGGACTCCATATTAAATAAAAAAAAATTTACAGGAAAAAAAACATCACTATTCATTACAGCCATAAATTGTATGTACGAAAAAAAAAAAGTAGCATTTTACAAATCTGTGAACTTTATATCCCGTAACCAAATGCTGACATTATTCATTAGGATTAAGAGACTGAGGTCTTTAAACACTTAAATACAAAATTTAAAGCAGAACCCCTAGGTTGTACATATCCAAATACACCACAGTTTTTTGGCAGGGATAACCATGGGTTTAGTATTTAGCGTCTGACACAGTCAAGAGAAAGAAAATAAAAAAATACTCAATGACTAATTTAAAACCAGCTGTATAAACTCAAGAACATAACTGTTGTCATGTCGGCAGAAGGCAACTCCCACCAGCACCTCCCCCCTTCTCCTCAAACCCAGCTCGCGTGAGAAGCTCGCCACTCCTTTCCTTCCCATCTCCCCATGTTCAAGAGATAACCTGACCAACAATACAGTCCCACATGCTTTCTAATTTGCATTCCACAACACTGATAACAACATAGAATATTTTGCCAATAAAGGGAAATGACCTATATAATTGTTGTAAGAAAAACAACAGGAGTGAGATTTACTCTGATATAGTTCTCTCACAGTCTCTTATTTCAGACTGTTAATCCATTGACTGGTTTTATTTAAACTCGATAATCAGGTATCAGTTTTTTTTTTAAACAGCAGTAGCAACAGCAAAGTTCCTAAATAAATAAATCCTCAAATTCTACTACTACTACTAAAAAACTTTCTAAAAAAACGATAAAGCTGTCATTTTTTGACCTTATCCATGCACTGGTGTAATATTTTGAACACTTACTGTCTTGTACAAATGACACAAGCAACATTCAGATTTTTCCAACACATTTGTATGTGCACACAAATTCCAAGTACCTAAAGTAGTGCCAAACTACAACAATGTATCCAGTAAGATCCACTGACCCAGTCATGGCTGCATGCAAACTCTTATAACACCCAGTTATGCTGTGGGAATACAACATTAACAATTGTACTTAAGTTTATATATGTCTTAGACAAATATATGTCTGAGGAAAAATGTAATCAGTAGAATTCCACTTGTGGGCTTGTGTTGTACCACAGAGAATAATTAACAACAGAAAAATAAACAAAAATACAATAAAATAAAAATAAATAAAAAACAAATTGAGTAATAGTGAAGGATACAGGGTAGAAAATCCTGTTTTACCAAAAGAGCACCTAATAATCATGCAGCTCTAGTCTATTGTATGTATGTACATATATGCATTTGCCTCCATAAAGCCAGAGAACTGCTGCAAATCAGTACATAGTCCTACCTTTACTTATCAGCTATTCTGGGTGAAGGGCAATCTTGATTTAACCTATAGCCTACTATTAAAATATGCTTTGTCACTGAAATTATGTTTAGAACACAGACATGGCCGACTTTGCTGTATTTGCTGCTTTGTGTGTTCAGCTGTGGTAAGTTTAACATTAATAGTCTGTGTGGCACACTGCAAAAAAAAAAAAATAAATAAAAAAAACAGGAAGGGGGCAAAAACTTTTTCACAGCACTGTATGTATTTGCATTTACTCAGACTGCTGTAATAGTAGTACTAGATAAACAATGTACAATTGATGAAACTTCCGTTTGTATTCAAAGCATCTGTACATGACTTTAGGTTTCTGACTTACCCAGAACAGACACCACAGCAACCTGCGAGGAAACGTAGCGGTTGGTCTTTGCATTGTAGGCCACACAGCTATAGTTCCCACTGTGTTTTTCCTATATATATATATATATATATATATATATCATATTTTATGTCTTGTTCAATTCTCTCTTTGAGTCACTCTGCTTCTCTGCTTTTAACACTGTCTTTGTTTTTGTTTCGTGACAAATATGAGTTGCAATTAGAAAGACAAAATAGGTAATCACTTTGACTAAGATGGAGATGACAAAATTAGCCACTATGTAGATATGTAACAAAGACCCTGACAATGAATTACTTAGGTAGTCCAAAGTCCCACTCATGTTTTGCCTACTTTTAACTGGCTGGGATCCTGGGAACTTTGTCACCATTTCTAGCCTGGGTTTACCAGCAAAGTGTCTTTGAAAAATACATTAGTTTTATATAGTTTTATATCACACAGTGTGACTCCCAAATGCTGTGAATTTTGTACATTCTAACACACTTCACTATAAGTCACATCTTGAGTAAGGCATGTTCCTGGGTCAACATGTTTTGATGGAACAACAGTCTTTTCAAACAAACAAATAAATAAAGTTCTAACCCTTATCCCAACTGCTAACCCCAAACCTCAATAGAGTGCAAGCCCTTAAACCAGTCCTATAACTACTACTAACATTAACACCAAATTCTAAAATATAACAAAAAAAAATGTTGCTACAAAAATTGGGTTCACCCAAAATGACCCTGGCAATAAATTACCTAAATAGAGTCCAATTTGTCTTTTGTTTCTTTCTACTGGCTGAGATCCCAAGACCTGTGTCACCCTTTTCAGCCTGGGTTCACCTGCAGATAATGTAGTGACTTAGTTTAATCACACAATATGAGTCCTGAGACTCACCGCTTTACATTCTAAAACATTCATTCATTTTTGTGGATATCTAGTATACTTGCTACTCTGTGCCTTGAGTATCATGTAGTTAGTATGAAGGTGATGCTAACCTTTGTCAGTGGGTTCCTAATTTCACAATTAATTCCTCCTATGAGCTGCATGTTGGGCATCAGGGGTTTGGGGAACTCCAGGCTAAAATCATACCGCATCAACCAGACGGCTCCGGTGTTCAGGATCTCAGTCAGGCTCACATCTCTCTGCAGGAAGTTGAACGTCGCTTCCTCATAGGGCAAGTATAAAAATTTACATATCAGTGGTTCCAGTATGCTCACAAAAAAGTTAAGTACACGCTGACTAAAAGTCATGCGGTCTGAGTTTCGTGTATAGAAACGTGGGATATATGAAGGAGGGTCTGGACAGGCTGTGGCTGCAGCATCAATGCCACATGGCATTCCCCTTAACATGTACACTGCAGGTACAGATAGATTATACGCCAGTATGGCGCCCATTGGTAGGGCAGGATCAGTTAAAACGGCATCAAAGTTTTGTTCTCTCAAAAACTCTATAAGCTCCTGGTTCTGGAACAGACTTTCACTTGTAGAGGCCATCAGGTTGAACATCTTTATCAAACTGGCAGCTGTTGAAGTCACACTCTTCAGAAGGGACTGCCATGGGCTTGTCACTTCATGAACATGCTCGGTCAATACCTCATTGATCAAATCCAGCTCATAGTTGACCGGAAATGTCTTTGTGATGTAGTGTTTTCCTGGACCCAAACGCATGCTGATCTCTGGAATCACCACAATCACTGTGTGTCCTCTACGTCCCAACTCTTCTGCCACAGCCTTCACCCCTGTCCAGTGACTTCCATCCATGGGCACCACTAACAGCTTCCCAGTCCAACTGCTCTTCCCAGATGGTCTCTGGTCCAGCACCGCAGAACTGACTTTACTGATCACCAGACATAAAATTATTCCTAAGTGCATCTTTCTTGCCAAAAAGACTGACGATGTGAACCTTTAAACTTCTGTTTGTCTCACTATGTACACTACAAATACATTGACTGGTTGCTTTTGACACAGACAGCAAGTAGATTGCTTTTCAGATTTTTAGTGGCTAGACACACAATGTGGGAGGGACTTTTTTAAATTCTAAAACCTATTCATTGTATTTTTTACACAACAAAATCCATTAAAAAGCAAGCACAATAATTAATATATAAACAAATAAATGTCTTTGTACAACAAAAATGGAAATCTTAGCTTAATATTTTACAGAGTTAGCCAGTTGCACACAGACTTTGCTGGCTAATGATTACAATATTGCCAGTGTAAGCAGAACTTCTTATTGGCAGTGCTGAACATTATTGATACTTGAACTATGTTCAAAGATAACAACAAAGCCTCCATATATTATGATGCAGTAGTTTCATTTCTGAGAATAAAATACAGACTCGAGTTATAATCTTTTATAGAGCATGTTTGACATTATAAGCAATCAGAAGCTTCTTAAGCCAAAGGATATTCTATGTTCCACCTGATGATGTGCAAAGACCACCTCGATGTTAACCAGTTTACAGGTTTGGAACGACATGAGGGTGAGTAAATGATGACAGAATTGTCATTTTTGGGTGAACTAGCTGTCTAAGCTGTAAACCCAAAGCAAACGCACAAGTGAAGCATACAGTTTGCACTCACCTCTGTAAGAGGGTTTTTTTACGGCACAGTTAATCCCCCCGATTAGAACCATGTTGGGCATCAAGGGTTTAGGAAACTCCAGGCTGAAATCATACCGAAGCAGCCAGAGGGCTCCACTGTGCAGCATCTCCACCACACTTACATCTCTCTGCAAACGGGATGCTACATCCCCAGTTCACCAATATATCAGTCTGCAAAGCAATGGCTCTACGATGCTCACTAGAACATTCAGCACACGCTGACGAAAAGACATATAGTCTGAGTTGTTTGTAAAGAACCGTGGGATGTAAGAGGGAGGGTTCGGACAGGCCTTGGCTGCAAGCTAAGCCACAGCAGTTAAGGAGCGGCAAGGCAAGGCAAGTTTATTTGTATAGCACATTTCATACACAATGGTAATTCAAAGTGCTTTACATAAATTAAAAGAAACAAATAATCACAACAATAAAACAAGGAATTTAAAAACTTTGAAAATGATTTAAAAAATTGAGCCTTGTGGGACTCCGCATGTCATGGACGTCCACTTAGACTTAGAGAGGTTATAAACCAGGATGGCACCAGTTGGTAAAGTACGGCATCAAAGTTCTGCTTCCTCAGGAAGTCCACTAGCTCTTGGTTGAATAGGAGACTCTCAGCTGTGGCCCTTTGGAGGTCCACAAATTACCTCATGTTACTGATTCTGGTGCTGATCTTCTCCAACAAAGGCAGCTGCTTACTCTCCATTACCTCAGCATTCCGAGCTTGGAGTTCGTCCAGTTGTTGCTTTCCATACGGAACCAGAAATGTTCTTGTAGTGTAGTGTTTACTAGGTCCTAGCAGCACACTGACCCCTGGAATGACCACTGTCACTTTGTGTCCCCTGCGGCCCATCTCCTACGCTACAGCTTTCACACCAGTCCAGTGACTGCCGTCCATCGGCACCACCAGGGGCGGACTTAGTGATTTGGGGGCCCTAAGCAAATTTCAGGTATGGGGCCCCAACACCATAACTATGTGCTCTTTTATGTCTAACACTTATTTTGCTCTCTCTCTCTCTCTAGTTTATAGTTTATATACGTCTTCACAACTAAAGTAAATAATTAGTCAACCTGATGCTGTTCTAAATCCACATTAGGCTTATTTATTTCGGATCACATTCACTTCAGTTCAATCTTACGACATTCCATTAATCAATTAAGCTGTCTGCACTGCACAATCAATCTCTTATATACATGTTGTTATAATGAGAGGGTTCACAAGCTCACAGAACTCAGCACTTGACAAAAACTCAGCATTTTGAGTGGTGAGTGAAAATTTGACACTCTCCAGAACACAAATACTCACTGGAGCGTTTGCCAAATATGTTTCGCCAATATCAGATGGGGCCACCTGATTCCCCGTGGCCCTAAGTGGCCATTTACCTCTCTTATTGGTTATGTCCGCCCCTGGGCACCACTAAAAGTGAACCAGTCCAACCAGTTTCTCTAAGCTGTATCGTCGCTCCCACAGCTCCAAAGGCGAGCATGAAGCACCCCACAAATGTAACCAATTTCATCGATGGCTCTTCATGTTCAAAGTGTGTACTCGTGAAGAGGTGCATTCTGGCAATGTGTCGTCAATGTCTTGTGTAGCTTGGCTCTCTCTGAGTCTCTCCCCTCGCTGTATGGAACAAATGGGATCAAGGCTTGTTTTTTTTGTGTGAATTCCTTGCAGGATTAACCAATTGTGTAATTAAATTAAATGTTAGTTTTGGGACCATTCTTAAAAAGTGAGCTACTACCATAAAGAGACAAAAATAATCACTTTGACTAAACAGCAAAAAAAAAAAAAAAATGTGTGTGTGTATGATTTTGAGACTTCCCTGGCAGCGCTCTCCTCCCACCCGGATCAGTCGTAGTCTTTAGTCAGTCAGATTTAAGCTCATCAATCAACCAAACATAAAGACATGAGGGCGTGCCTGGATGCTACGTCATCAGCTTTCGTCCACAGTTCAAGTCATGCAGAGGTATGTGCAGTTGATTGGTTCATTTCTGTTTACTCTGTTTACTGAAGTAAACGAAGTTTGCAGTTGATTGGTTCATTTCTGTGTTAACTGTTTACTGAAGTAAACGAAGTTAGAGATCAGTTTAAGCTGACTGCTGTTAACTATTAACTGCTGTTTAGTCCACGTGTGAACATAAACATTTATTTTAAGCATTGGTGGATTCTTATGTAAGTCATAAAGAATTATTTATGTTACCCCAATCCTTTGCGTGATTGTAACTGAGGGAGCTGTCTGAGGGGCTCTGTACCTGAAGCTAAAATACATCAAAACATTTCCTCTTCATTTTGGACAAAATACCCCAGAAATCACACACGTCTGCAAGATGTCTATTCAAGATTGCTTAATGTGGAAAGCAACTGCTGTGTACAAACATCTGATAAACATCTTTAAGATGTCAGTTTTACATACATTCTAAATCATAAACATCTTAAAGACATCTTCTAAACATCTATTTGACATCTGATAGGAAACATCCTAGAGACGAATTGCAGATGAGCAAACACTAAAAAATATGTGTTGCAGATGTAAATGCAGACGTCAAATAGACGTCTCCGTGATGTATGTGTGCTATCAGGGATGGGACATCTGATTATCACAGCAGTTGCTTATATCTGTTAATCGTTAATAAACTACAGCTTAAACTGATCTCTAACTTCGTTTACTTAAGTAAACAGAAATGAACCAATCAACTGCACATACCTCTGCATGACTTGAACTGTGGACGAAAGCTGATGACGTAGCATCCAGGTAGGCACGCCCTCATGTGTTTATGATTGGTTGATTAATAAGCTTAAATCTGATTGGCTAAAGACTACGACTGATCGGGGTCGGAGGAGAGCGCTGCCAGCGAAGTAGTGATGGGAAGTTCGGATCATTTTACCGACTCGGACCTTTGAGTCTCGTTCAGCAAAATGAACGAATCTTTTTTCGAGTCATTTCGTTCATTTTAGCAAAATACAATTAAAATGTTACATGTTACTTCCCTAACACGTCTACTAACGCAAACGTTGATCACACTACAAACAATACAAAACTGCAATAAGAAACAGAAAAGATTAATTCATTGTTTACCTGGGTCTTCAGTCTATGATTAGCTCACCTCACCTCTTATCTGACAAGTCTTCGGGTTTGAGTCGTACTTACAATTGGGGGATACATTTAGCGATCCTTCTTAAAGATGCAAACAGATACAGGAAGTGCTTGTAATACCAGTTTCTAGACATTGTTCAAATAAGTACAAGCTAGAAAGAGAAGGAAGATTTCTGAAAGTTCAGAATAGGAAAAGAAGTTACCATCCTTTTTTAACAAATCTAAATAATAATAATAATAATAATAACTATGCACCCGTTTGTAAGGAAGCTTGTAAATTAACTAATTTCTCTATCCAGGTGTTTTGTCACATTTTGGTCCTCACTAATATAGCAATACAAACACACACACACACACACACACACACACACACACACACACACACACACACAAATCCAAGGCGATTCACACATGAATGACGATTTGTACATTCAGTAAAACCTTAGTTTAAACCTTAGTTTAAAATCACAGTGCCTGGGAGTTGTGAATATGCTAAATTCTAACAAATTTATTTATATTGACCAAATCAAATGTGTCAGTAGTCTCAGAGTATATACAGATCTTTTTTTTTTTGGATACCTAGTATAGCTGTTCCTACATGCAGTATCATGTAATGAGTATAAATGAGATGTTCACCTTTGTAAATGAGTTCCTAATGTCAGTTTATCACTCCTGTCAGCATCATGTTGGGCATCAGGGGTTTGGGGAACTCCAAGCTAAAATCATACTCTATCAACCAGACATCTCCAGTGCTCAGGATCTCAATCAAGCTCAAATCTTTCTGCAGAAAGTTGGACCTCAAACACAGATTGTGTGAATGCAGCCATGGCGACTGGCTAATGTGTTGTTGTGCAAGTGACTCAATGACCTGCACTGTGATTGTGCAGGGGGGGGGGTGTTTCTGAAAGTAATTTTAAGATGCAACGGGGAAAAACGGGATAAACACAAACATGAAACTTGTAAATAAAATAATCTGTTTTTTTATATCAAATTAAAAAAATTTGATATATGAATTGGGTGTTCGTCAAAGATTGCATGCGGTCGGACGTGTTTACAGCTCCGTAAAATCACCTACTGGAAGCTCTGTAGTTTTGCTGTATAGGCCTATAGATAAAAATATTAAAATTACAAACACACAATACCATTTTACGTTACTTCCATTTCTGAAAAAAAGAATGTAGGCCTAATTTATGTTCTAAATACACACGCCTGATTTTTGTTTTAATTATCCATCGTACATAAAAAAAAAACAACAATTGCAA